CTCTTGCAAAGGGAAGATTTCTCAGAAATGCCACCCTTAGTGGTGCCACAGACGCTGCCAGGGCATCCGCAGAGGGAGCCGGTGTCAAAAAAGGCAAACGGTGGATGTCACTGCACATTCAAAGCTCTGCCTTTTTCATGTGTGCTGCACGTGCAATAAACGTGAAAAAAGGGCAGAGCTTTGATCCCACAGTTGTGGCTGCCAAGTTGACTTTTTTGACCCCCTCTATGGATGCCCCTAGCAGTGCCTAGGAAGTGAGTGTTTGGGGTAGAGAAACAGGATCGAAGTGGCCCTCTTTCAGTCTTTGAGCACCAGGGCACTAGTTGTCATGCTAAGAGAGGGCCTTACTTAGACCTCAAGAATCCACCTGTGGATGCTCGTTGGCCTTGAGGGAACTGCAGGACAAATTTTTCAGACTTCCTGTGGGCAGAATTCAGGGGACAAATCTTTTTGTTCTGGTTAGAGTGTCTGTTTCCAGAAAGCAGGCACCAGTCACAACTCTGGGGTGGGGGTATGGCTGTTCTTACAGGTAGTCCTCAACTTATGACCATTCGTTCAGCAACCGTTCCAAGTTATGGCAGCATTGAACAAAGGGACTTATGACTGGTCCTTGAGGTTACAGCCATTGCAGTGCCCCCGCGATTGGCAGCCCACCTTCACTTACAACTGCAGGGGCACTTCAACTCCCCCCAACCGCCTATCTCCCCCCCATCTATGCCCTTGCTGCCCTAGCTGACCTTTGCTGTCTTCTTGCTCCTACTGCTGACCAAGCATGCCCAGCCTTGCCCTTCACGAGGCAACTGGTGGCCACATAAGGCTTTCTTCCCCAGGCCACGCATGGTGGTTTTCTCGTGAGACCTGAGGAAGATGGCCTCACGTGGACAGCAGCTGTCTTGCGAAGGGCCAGGGCGAGCACCGTGTCAGCAGCAGGAGCAAGAAGATGGAGCAGGTCAGCTGGGGAGATGGAGCGCAGGGTGGCAGGGCCTCAGAGTGCGGCTGGGCCAGGCGGGGGTGGCTGAGGCTTCCAGGGCTAGCTGTAGCTTTGTGCTGTTCTGTAGCTCAGGGCCACAGGGTGCAGGGTGCCAGAAGGGCAACAATGGGGGGGGGGTATTGGCAGTTGGGAGTTGAAGGGGAGGCAGTCTTTGAAGAACCGAGGCTCGGGGCTTGGAGGAACGAAGCCCGGACTGGCCGGTGGAATGAGGTTAACAACAGCAACAGGGAGTGCTGGGATTGCTGTCACTAAATGATGTGGTCACGTGATGTTGTGCTTTATGACCACATCACTTAGTGACGGAAATTCCAGTCCTAATTGTGGTCGTAAGTCGAGGACTTCTTGTATTCAGGAGTGCCTAGTGGCCTTTAGGAATGCTGGCCCAGATGTAGCCGGATGCGAGGTTCTCTCTGTGAAGCTGGGTCATAGGGATCAGTTGGGCTTGCTGCTTGCCTACCTGCAGGGTGGCTGTGGCCTTGCCTGAGCTCCTGGACTCCATGGAGGGGTTGGAGGTGGAGTTCCCCAAATTGATAGTGCTGGGGGACTTCAACCCACCTTCTCTGGGTGCAGAGTTAGAGGTGACCCGGGAGTTCATGCCAACCATGGCAGCCGTGGACCTCGTCCAGCTTATTGGCAGCCCAACTCATGGTGTGTGTGTGTGTGTGTCACACATTGGATTTGGTGTTTGTCTTGGGGCAGTGGCAAGATGATCTGGGGCTGGGGAATGTTAACGTCAGTCCCTTGCCATGGACAGATCACTCCCTCTTTGGCCCTGGATTCTCTGCAGCTGCAGGGATGTTGGGCCCATTTTCTCAGTCTGCCCCAGGCCGACCAATGGACCCAGCAGGTTTCAGAGGGAGCCTGAGGTTATTCCTGAGGCTCCGCTGCCCGATTCGGCTGAGGCCTTGGCTGCAGCCTGGAATGAGCGTGCAATGAGGGGCTCGGATCGGATCACGCCTGCCTCGGCTCTCTCTGATCGCGGATCCTGTCATGTCCCCGGTTTACAGTGGCGCTCTGGGAGATGAAATGGCCCAAGAGATGCCTAGAGCATCACTGGAGGAAGATGATGGATGAAATTGACCGGCCACAGGTAAAATCCTTTATTAGGACTTACCTTGTGCCAGTTAGAGTGGCAAAGCGTGCTTACTTCTCTGTTCTTATGCCCTGTTTCAGGTGATGAGAGCACTTCTGGGTAAGGGGGGGCACGTGAACCCTTGCGGGGTCACTGTGAGGACTGTTCTAGGCATCCGTTGGACAAAGTTGCTCAACTGTGGACTCTGTCTGGGCAGATCCAGCGGAAGTGACTGAGGCCCATCCAAGCTGGGTTATCTGGGGAGAGTTCAAGCTGATCAACCCTGCGGAAGTGGACAGGGTCCTTACAGCTGTGAGCTGTGCCATCTGCAGTCTGGACACACGCCCCTCCTGGTTGGTGAAGGCCTCCTGGGAGGTGGCATGTGGCCGGGTCCTTCTTTTTAGGGAAGGTTGTCGAGAGGGTGGTAGGCTCCCAGCTGCAGAGGACCCTGGACTAAGTGGAGAGTCTAGACCTTTTCAGTCAGGATTCAGGCCAGGCTACAGTGCCAAGACAGCATTGGTCACACTCGTGAATGACCTTGGAGGGCTCGGGGTGGGGTTGGTGTGTCCGTCCTGGCCCTCCTGGATCTCTTGGTGGCTTTTGATACCATCGACCATGGTATCTTGCTGGACTGACTCCGGGGGTTGGGAGTGGCAGGCACCATTTTGTGATGGTTCTCCTCCTTTCTCTGTGGCCGGTACCAGTCAGTTATGGCAGGGGAGGAGAGGTCCGGCCACATGTGGTCTCCCTCCCCACTTATTTAACATCTATATGAAGCTGTTGGGAGAGGTCATCTGGCGGCATGAGATTGGGTATCATCAGGCTGCTGATACCCAACTATACATCCGTACCCAGTGCTGGGCAAGTGGTGCAGTTTGTGTCTTTGCTCAGTGCCTGGAGACTGTAAGAGCCTCGATGGGGAGAAACTGGCAATGACTGAACCCTAGCAAGATGGAGTGGTTGTGGGTCTTTGGCCCCTGGGGTCAGGAGAGTTGGCATCTCTCATTCTGGATGGGGTAACACTCCCCCAGACAGTTCTGGTGCACAGCTTGGGGCTCCTCCTGGACTCACAGCTCCTGCTCCTTAGTCACCTCCTGTTTGGACGTCTGCGATACACTCTACCTGGGGCTGCCCTTGAAGACCATCTGGGAGCTGCAACTGGTCCAGAATGCAGTTTTGGTCCAGAACTGCATCACTGCTGTGTGAGCTGCGCTGGCTACCCCTTGCTTTCTGTGTGCGGTTCAAGGTGCTGGTTATCCCCTTTAAAGCGCTACATGGCACAGGGCCAGGTTATTTGCACAACTGCCTCTCCCTGAGAGCTTCTGCCAGTCCTACTAGGCCAGATAGGGTGGGCATTCCGTAGGTCCCCTCTCTTAAATGCTGTCACCTGACGGGGCCCCAGAAGCACACCTTCTCGGCGGCTGCTGTAGCCCTTGGAATAGCCTCCCGCCTAAGATCCAGAGGATCCCTATTCTTTTAGCCTTCTGGAAGACCGTTATTAGCCCTGTGAGGTAGTTCAGACAAGAAGCACAACCAGGAGTACTATTTCTATCTCTAATATAAGGTTGCATTAACAGAATTTTGCAAGACTGAAAGTTCTTCTCCCCTTGTTTCCGTTCACTGTCTGGAAAACTAGGAAGGATCCCTTCTGAAACGCTTCCCACGCCCTCCCTCCTTTGGTGGGCTGAGATATCTTCTACACGCCGGTTGTCCAGCCTGGGACTCTCCCTCCTGTCTCCCAAGGTCCTTCCCATGTGCCATTACAGCCATGAATACCTGGCTCTTACCCCAAGCATCAGCTTTACTAGGTGGACTAGACAGGAAACACAACCAGATGAGCTAATTCCACTTTCTTGTAAGGTTACATTGACAGACCCTTGCAAGTCTGGAAGTACATTTCTCCCCCATCTCCTTTTCAGCCCGAGAAACTAGGGAGGGTCCCTTCTGAGCCTCTTGCCCCGTCCACATTCCTGCTGTGGGCTCAGCTGCCTTTTATCTGACTGCTCCCTGGGCTGCGTCTCGTTGCCCTGTCTCCCAAGGTCATTGCGCTGGGAGGCTGTTTGGTCTGGGGAGGAGGGTGGTTTAGTTTTTATCCTTGTTTTATTGCTTCTTTTGAACTGCCTAGAATCATTATATGAGATGGGTGGCCATATAAGTTCTGTAGACAGAGAAACAGACAGACAAACTTTTCTGGCTCATGTCTAGTTGTCTAACACGCTGTGTCCATTTTCTCTTGTAGATGGATCTGGGACACCCAGGACCAACCTCCCCGCTCACCTCGCAGCCCATCCCTCCTCGAGGGAGCCTTGTGGGGCTGCCATCTCCCGGGACGTTCTCTCCAGCCACCGTCCCGTTTGTCCCGGACGGGGCCATTCGCTACCAGCCAGAGGGATCCAACGGGGCATCGTATATTGGAGGGAACGTGCCAGGCGGGGCGAGGCCGGAGTCCCTCTGTGAACCGTTCCACGCTCGGCTGCCACCCGCCGCGGCTGCCCCGGGGGCACCCC